ACTACCAATGGGAAAGGACCAGGCCAACGTTAAGGGTTGCCGCTTCCGCGTCTCCGTTGCCCTTCCAGTGGGTGCTGTTGTGAACTGCGCTGACAACACCGGTGCAAAGAACTTGTACATCATCTCCGTGAAGGGTTATCATGGTCGTCTGAACCGTCTGCCCGCCGCTGCTCTCGGCGATATGGTGATGGCCTCCGTGAAGAAGGGTAAGCCAGAGCTCCGCCGCAAGGTGTTGAACGCCGTTATCATTCGTCAGCGCAAGAGCTGGCGCCGTAAGGATGGTACCGTGATCTACTTTGAGGACAATGCGGGCGTTATTGTTAACCCCAAGGGTGAAATGAAGGGTTCCGGTATTGCGGGTCCCGTCGCGAAGGAGGCGGCCGATCTCTGGCCAAAGATCTCCACGCACGCCCCCGCTATTGTGTAAAGGTTCTGCGTTCCAGTTTTATTTTTATTTGTATTTCTGTCTCTGTGGCTTATGCAGAATAAGAAATATCCAGGCTTATTTTTTTGTTGGTTGTGGTGTAGAAGTACGGTGTCTCTTTGTGTAAATTATTTATTTCTTTCCCCACAATGCTAATAAAAAATTTCTTTCCCTTTCTCTCCTATTCTATGTAATAAATATTATTATTGTGTGTGTGTTTTTTTTTTTTTTTTTTTAGCCTATTAGCAGTCATGCCCACCCGCTTAAAGAAGACTCGTCACCAGCGTGGTTCCACGTTCTGTGGCTATGGCCGTGTAGGAAAGCACCGCAAGCACCCTTCTGGTCGCGGTAACGCCGGTGGCCAGCACCACCACCGCATCAACTTCGACAAGTACCACCCCGGATACTTTGGCAAGTGCGGCATGAACCACTACCACAAGAAGAAGAACGCGACGTGGAAGCCGACGATTAACCTGAACAACCTCACGAAGCTGATCGCGAAGGACGAAGTGATGAAGGCAAAGAAGGGCGAGGCTCTGCCCGTTGTTGATCTCCTGGCCAACGGCTACTCCAAGCTTCTTGGCAACGGTCACGTGCAGGCTCCTTGCATTGTGAAGGCCCGCTGGGTGAGCAAGGTGGCTGACAAGAAGATCCGCAAGGCTGGTGGTGCTGTTGTGCTCCAGGCATAAGGTGAGTTGACTGTCAAAGCACTCATTTTTTGATTTTTACTTTTCTTATTTAATTATCTTGTAAAATTATTTGGATTTTCTAAAAAAAAAAAAAATGTATTTTGTAGGATCATGCTTTTTTTTTTGCTCCACTTTTTAGGTAATGTTTTTCTTTCTTTCTTTCCTTCTTTCTTTTAAATGATTTTTGTATATATATTGTATATTTAAAGAATTAGAAAGGTGTTTTTTTTTTTAGTTTCTGTTTATATAAGTTATCCTTTTTTTTTTACCCAACCTCTGTGTTGGGTGAAAAGGGTATATGATCTCGCTAGTTGAGGTTTTATTCATATTTTCTTTATTGCTAATTACAAGTTTTCCTACAGTGTTCGCTGAGTTTTCTATGATTCCTCTGAAAGGATATGTCTCACTTGGCCTTGAATTGATGGTGGGAGAACCAGATGGTAATAGTTCAGTAGATTTATTCACCATGAACATAGCTGGAGCACTGAATTCTTCATATCCATTCCGTCTTGAAAGAGTTTCATTGAGTAATAAAACTGTGTATATATACAATGACACAGAAATGGCGACGATATTCAGTGATGACAAGTGTGTGTTGGAAAAGAATACTGTGAAGAATGATGATATTGCTTTGTGGGATGTCATACGCACGATCCTTAGTTTAATAAATAAGAATATTTCTGGGACCTCTATGTATTATCGTGGTTTTGAAGGTGTCCTTATATCAGGGACACAAGTACAACTGACTATTCCCAAGAAGTTCAAGGGAAATGGTGAATTACAGTTATACAATGCTTCTGTGTTTTTAGTGAAACCATGGAATGTTAATTATGCCTATGTTCGGAATTTACCAGTTAAAGTTGATCTTGTTGATGCTGAAAATAACAAGTGGTCTTTTACATTCTTTGATTTTGCCGTATCAACGGTAGATACAAGAATTCTTATGTTTCCTTCTAAATGTGTGGAGAGCAGCGTTTTTGCAAAAGAAGAAGATGAAGTGATGAAAGAAGCTACGATGAATAAGGAAATGCCTGGATTTCCTGAGGAGTTTAGTGCTGAAATTCAAGTTGTTCTACCTTCGGAGAAGCTTACATTTACAATGCACGAACAGTTCAGCTCATTATTGCATTTATCTCATTCAAGTGTTTATGGTTCACTTCCTGATGAAGTTGGCCGTGTTAACACATATGATTGGTATATTGTTGGTTCCTACCGAATGTCATACTTCTACACAAAATCAACTCTCCCTTTTGGGCAAGATTCACCTGTTTCACGTAATCTTAGAGAGTATTTTTGGCCTAATACTGAACGTTGTGTACGAACACTGATCAACTATGATGCTATTGCAGGAAGTGTAGGTGCTTTAATGCTTTATTCATCAGATGTACCTCCAGTTTATATTGGATCTCAAATTGTGCGTGGTATACCATGTAATGTATGGTCTGCCAGTTTATCTGGTGTACGTGTTAAATGGTTTTGGGCTGATCGTGACAAAGTTAATTTAAATACTGATAACAGTACTGATGACATGAGTGTATTAATGAGAATAGTTGTAGAAGGAGTAGACGCTGCTCCATTTTATGTTCATCACCCTTTTTTAGCCCAAGGGAATGCATTTCCTTCCAAGTACCGCACTAGGGCATGTCGTTTACTAAATCCATGGGACCCTGCCTGTAGAAGTGGTAATGGATACACCAAGTATATTTACGATATTACTTCTTTTTCACGGTACATTTCTGCGAAGGACTTTGTTTTACCAACATCCTGCACAGTTGAGGATGTACCTTCAACGGTAATTCCAGACGTTATGTGTAGTTCAGACGGTGGTATTGGAAGAATTTTTTTAACGTTGGCATTATTCGTTTTGGGTATTCTTATAGGATGCTGTATTGTTTGGTTTCGTTATGGAGTAATAGTACATAAGTTAAGAGGGGAATTACTGATGCTGGCACTTGAGAATGAAAAACAGCGAAGATCTTTACAGCAACAGATGACATCATAGCCAGTAATATGGCGTATAATTTATGTGATTTATGCAATTTCAACGGGTAACGGGTATCAAATTCAACCTTTCTGCCCGGGAAACAGAGAAAGGTAAAAAAAAAAAATAAAAAATAAAGAAAAAACTATTATTTTCTTTATTTTATTTTATTTTTCTTTCTCTCATTGTGTATTTGTTTTTTATTTTTATATACTACGTTAGTGGAATTTGTTGATGTTTTTTTTTTTTTTTTTTTCTTCTTTATCTTCCCTGTTAATATTCTCGTGACGTTGTTCCCTTTTTACTATCTTTCTCTTTCTCTTTCTCCTCCT